TTGTTGAAAAATCGCCTAAAATGTTTCTCTGCTTTCTCATAAAAATATGCACAAACAGCAACAAAATGGAAATAAATAATGGCTGTTAACATCAGCCCAGTTTCACTTATCGATCACAAAATTTGGCTAACGTACTGATGCCGATATTGATGGCGATATGTTCTCTTATCGGCTTAGGTCAGCTGCTGTTCTAACTAAGCATTGGAGTAAATTTACAAATTTAACTATATTATATGAAAGCCCAAACAACCCATCATTGCTTACAGTCATTTGCAAATCTATTCAAATCCTATGAATTTTTCCAGACTTTGTCATGTTACAACAGATTTCCATGTATTTTCATTAGAATGTTATGCGATAGGCTTCCTTTTACCAATGGCAACTTTCCTGTCACTCTACCAATAAAGTCCGGCCTTCCCATCAACTCTGACCAGCTTAAAGAAAGTATTCCTCAATACTTTCACTGCCCCACTTTGCTTCACCAAGGGGCTGGTATGTTCAGAAATATGTGTGGCCGTTTTCCTTTCTGTTTTCTCATGACAACTTGAACAATACTCAGTAACTGCATTTCCAGTAAAAATGTACACAAAACTTTGTTGATGTTCCACTAATGTTGAAAAATGCAATTTTGCAATTATGGTATTTCCTCCTATGACTTCCTGTTGTCTCCTTTTTTGTGGTTTGTGCCAGTGGCAACATCCGGTTGTTGATCACATGACTCGTGATGAGATTACAGTGTTTCCATTGCAGTTTTGCAAAAAAAGGCACAAAAGCTCATAAGAGTTTTGGCCGCAACAGTTTTGATACAGCCAAAAGAAAAAAACAACTCATTCTAGTGCCAACAATTTTGTAGAAAAACTACAAAATTTTTGTAGTTTTTCTGAAATTGCTGTGTTTTTATTAAGACAATTTATTTTCAATATGTCAAATTGCACAATCTGACCTTTCTGATGTCATCATGATTGTTCAATAATGTTCTCCAACAAACCTGATTCCTTCACAGAACAGCTGAATTTATACAGAGATTAAATCTGACTAAGGAAGACAATCTTTACTAAAAATGTGACTTTCACATTTTTATTGGTTCAAAGTTCAAAAATCATGTTTCAACTTTACAATTATGCATGACTTTCCATAGACTGTATCATCAAATCCTGGTAAGACACAGTAGCTACGTTTCCACTGACTATATAATTGAGCAACTTGACAATCTGAAAATAAATTTGTTTGATGGAAACAAAGCAACTTAAAAAAAATCTCTCGTTTTTGGATAAAACGTTTGCACTAGGATCAAGTGGTTTTTCTGACCGTATAGATTTTGGTTTATTTTGCAGAACTGCAATGGAAACACTTTTTTCACTACACATGATCAACAACCGGATGTTTCTACTGGCACAAACCACGAAGAAGAACACAAGGAGTAGTAGTTAGAGGATGATGGAGCGTCATGTTTTTTCATGACTTATCACATTAACACAAACTTATTCACATGTGATTTTAATTGTGTTTCTCATTTAATGGGAACACCACAATTGCAAAGTAGTGTTTTTCCAACATTAGTGGAAAATCAGCAAAGTTTTGCACACGTTTGTAATGGAAACACAGATAGTGATTTTTGTGACAAGATGTCGAAACCTTAAGGGGAGTGATTACTTTTGTAAGACACTGTTTGTCTTTCTGCAACATTACTTAAGAGCATTCTGAGCCCTGAACCAGAGAAGCTGGGCCATTTTTTTTCCTGTATATAGAACAACAGGCTAGAGTGATCAACATGGCCCAGATGTTCTCTCTTTTTCTCATAAACACTTTCCACAAACATCTCTGTGAGCAATGTGCCGTTCAAAGTGCTGCAGGGCTGGTTTTGCTGAGGTTTGACAATAAAGCCAGCGACAAACCATATTTGTCATCTTGTGGCACGCGGTAACTACACACTCTCAATCCCTCACAGACCTCCTCATTTCAATGCAGGCATTATGTGGGAGTCTAGCTTTCTCTGTAAAAGCAACCTTTGTGATTTTGAGTTGCTCAGATCGTCCCTGAAGTTGACCTCCGAGGGTGAGCTGCCCGTTCCACACAAGTTTGCATTTAAAGGTAGAGGGGAGGATGGAACACGGCGGCTTCTGTCAGAAAGGATTTGCCGACTGGGAAATGAAGAAAATACAAAGCTCTCTCTCACTCAGTGAAAGAAAACCAAAGTTTTATCTACAGCGATGCTACACTCGACAACAATGCAACCTCCAGATGAGTCTTGTTTTGAGAGAGTATTTGTTGAAGCAAAAGATAACTGAAACCAAAACCCGAAAAACGCAACTCATGGTTTCATGTGTCACCTTGGACTGCAGCTTTGTGAGGTCGCCGATACGCTCCTGGTGGACGTTTAGTGTACATCGACTTCTGTCGCCCATTTTCACATGAAAAACACCACAGCATTTGTCACATACCTCCATTATTCTGTCGTGGATATGAAGGCCTTCCTCCTTGTCCGCTGGACCTTTCTCGACAATCTTGGACACAAAGATCCCTTCATTTGAAGTGCCGTCATTGTCGTCCTGTTGAGCAGATTGCAGTTATTTCCCCCATAAGCAATAAAAAATGCAGTTCCCATTTGAAAAACCTGGCCAAAAAAAGCATTTAAGACCAATTTTTTGAAAGGAATCTTTGTCTTAAACGACAAAGATAAATGGAAGGAAAACAATCCCATTAGCTAATATCATCAGCCCCAGATATAAACTTTAATCTTGACAAAAACAACAGTCACAAATTTTGAGTAGCTAGTTTTGAAATAAGACAGGATTTAGTTCTTGAGTTGACAGAGATAGCTAATAAAGCTTACAGGCTAGCCAATAATACCGAGTTACAAAAGCTTTTGAAGTCTCCACCGCTTTTACATTACCTATCTGGTAAATCTTTTTGTGCTCTGAAAGAAAAAATAAAGAAAATATACTAATTAAAAATATACTAGAAAATATACTAAGATTATCACAACTAGATATACATCAAAAATTAGCATATGCGTCAAACCTTTTTAAACTAAAGAGCTATAACAGATTTAATTGTGTTGACAACATTTGATCAAACCTTACGTGGACTCTTCAGATCTGAGCACAGATGTTTTAAAAGTGGCTGGGATTAACAAAGCCTCTCTTTAGCATTATTTAGAATTAGACCAATTAAAAAATATGGCTCTTTTAAGAGTCTTTTAAAAATAACTCGTAAGCAGATATTAAGCATACTTCTCATTAAGCTCATGTTTCAGTGTTAAAAAAATTAATAGTCTGATACAACTTCTAATATAAAATGTAGAAAATCACCATAATTAGAAGAAATACAGGCCTGAAAACATTGCCCTGTGTGTAACTGATCTATATTAGGTGTCTGAAATAAAAAAAAACTTCTCAGTATTATAATTTCTTAATCTGACTGGATATCAACCAGTCAGATTTTAGGCATGGGCAGGAACCTCACTGCATAACAACCTTGAGGGAAAACACTACCGTTTCAATATATCACTTTATATTAAGTTATGACAACGTTATTTATACATTTTATAAGTATTTTTGAATTACAATTTTTCAAATGCTTATGATGCTGAATAATTTATTGGCCAATGATGGTGATTTTTCCTACTTATAGAGCAGCACACTAAGCTAATATTACCCAATTATTGCTAACAAAACAAGATTATGTTATTAATAGTGCTGGGCAGAGCTCCTAGTGTTCACATCATGACCGTCAGCATCCTTCATGACCGGAAATGTAACCGTTAATCAGCAGTGCACCACAAGGAATGGGGGGACGTCCTCCGAAGAAACAGCTACTGCAAATCATTCAGATCAGGAACTTAAACCACTGGGAACAGAGTAATTTTGAAATGGTAATGTTTTATAAACCTCTTTAGACTCTGAACAGCAACTAGGTCATGCTTATTCCACACTAATTGCAGAATATTTAAAACCAGGTCTGTGTTGGTGTATCTTACAGATAAACTAGTTATCTAGAAGTATGAACTTTAAATGCCAAACATTGGTTGGTTGGGAAGTAGAATATACTCTTGGTCAAGACCAAAGAAAAGAATATTCACAAAAAAAAAAAAAAAAAAAAAAAAAATTCCTTTTGTGTGGTTTAAAAACTGAAGTGTGTTTCTAGGTAGATAAATTACCATTAATAATTTTCATATTAGCCAATATTATTAAGTCATATTTAATATTCAACATCAAACTTTCAAACTATCTTGCAAACTACGTCACAACCTTTTAGTTTTCAGAGTGTATTCATCATTTAACCCTGGTTTTCAGTAAAAGCATTTGTCTTGGCATTAACTACTTCCTCATTCTAAGAACTAGCTCCTATACTACAGGCTTGAAAAAGTTGGCATTTTCATAAGGAAGGCTGCATTCAGCACAGCTGTGCTGACCCCCTCCCTCAACAGCCAGAGCTAAATCTGACTTAACAACCCCTCATGGCAGTCTGTCTGAAAACACATAAAACATGTCCCACACACCTGCTGAGCTGTTGCAGCATGACCACACTTTAATGAGTCAACTACAGAAACCTCAGGGCAGGCAGTAATTAATGATAATTGGTCTTCAGGATATGCAGTTTTATTCTACAAGGCTCTGCTGAGCATTTTTAACAAGTCTGCTCACCACAAGTTTTCCCAGACACCGTGAACAAACTACAGTGGTTAGCAAAAACATTTTCACACACCCCTCAACTTTCTTCCCGTGTATCATATGAAACCCCACAAGCCTCAAAGCATCACACTGGCATTTAATATGATAGACCAACACAAAGTGGTGTATACATGTGATGGGGAAGGAAAATTAAACATGGTTTTCATAATGTTACAACTATAAATCTGAAAAGTGTGGCATGCATTCATATTTAGTTCCTTTGCACTGACATCTCTAAATAAAGAAAACTGAAGTATGGATACAACCTGAAACATGTGCATGTTTCATATTTCCCATTAGCCACTTGAATTTCTCATTCAATTTTAAAGAAATAATATGTATCAGAATCACAAACAGAACTTTGCTTTTAGTGAATCTCACACCTATCGTCAAGTAGAAGGAGATGACGACGTGTAACAGACTAAGAGAAAGTCGGCTAACATTAAGATGGTTTAGAAGAAAGTGCCCATTAAAACGGAATTAGGTTTTAACAGGGAATTGAAATTTGAGAATGTTGTTGATCAGTTAAATAGCATTGAGGGGAAAAAGAAGATTTTTAGTTTTTTTTTTAAATACTGGGATAATTATGAGAATTTGAGGTATAGATATTAGGATCCTGTAGATGGCAGTAGTGCAACAATAATTGATGCAAGCTGCTGTTGAAATCTAAAGAAGAAGAAAGCGCCCATTTTCATTTAGCACATGCTAGTAGCAGACACAAAGGATCAGCACTTCTACTGTTACAGTTACCATTCGGAAACTTCTGTAATAAGTTCAGTTAAATCTAAACTTGGCACCTTTTTCTTTTTCAACCGTAATAAATGTGATATTCAATTGACCTGTTATTACTCAGATTTTGGGTGTCCACCCCTCTCTGCTGCTGCTGCTGCATCGTTGTGGAAAATCTAGAGCAGAAGAGATATCTACGGGTTATATGTGTATGTTTACTGGTTTTTTAAAAGAAAAAACTTTGGGATTGTGGCTTATAGTCCGGTGCGGCTCATAGTTTGGAAAAGACTGACTATAATCCTTCCTGGATTTATTCTGTGAAGAACCCAGAGAGGGTTATTTGGTTATTATTTATTTCCTGACTTTTGTTCTGTGAAGAACCCAGAGAGGGTTATTTGATTGTGCTTTCTGGAAATCAATACATTTTTACATTTAGGCACTCCTGCAATCGTCACACTTTTTCTGTTACAAACTGACTCCGGACCCCCACCAGAGAAGGGAAAAGTTATGTGGCTCTCACAGGAAAAAGTTTGGGGACGCCTGTTGTAAAGCATACATTTGCTCCAAACAAATTTTTCCAAGAAAATGAAAGAAGATGAACTAGGTGAGTTCCTGAGACAGTTTGAATTGTGTAAAAATGTTAATAATTCATCAAAGGAAAACAGCAAATGTCTGCAAAAGCTACCGGAATAGGGGTGTTGCGCAGCGCAGTGGTTAGCGCAGTCGGCTAACATTAAGATGGTTTAGCACAGTGGTCCCCAAACTACGGCCCGCGGGCCGGATCTGGCCCGCCTCCACATTTAGTCCGGCCCCCTGAACAATACCGACAGCATTCAGATTTTTTTCATATACCGGATTTTCTGGACTATAAGCCGCTTATATGTGGATTTTTCTTCAACCACCAGGGGGCTCTTTAGCAGGAAGTGAATCAATGGAAGTCAAAACTGGAAGTAAAAGAAGAAAGGGCCCATTAAAACGGAATTAGATTTTAATAGGGAATTGAAATTTGAGAATGTTGTTGATCAGTTAAATAGCATTGAGAGGAAAAAGATTTTTTTTTATAATACTGGGATCATTATGAGAATTTGAGGTATAGATATTAGGATCCAGTATATGGCAGTAGTGCAACAATAATGGATGCAAGCTGCTGTTGAAATCTGAAGAAGAAGAAGAAGAAGAGGAGGAAGAAGAAGAAGAAGAAGGAAAGCACCTATTTTCATTTAGCACATGCTAGTAGCAGACACAAAGGATCAGCACTTCTACTGTTACAGTTACCATTCGGAAACTTATGTAATAAGTTCAGTTAAATCTAAACTTGGCACCTTTTTCTTTTTCAACCATAATAAATGTGATATTCAATTGACCCGTTATTACTCAGATTTTGGGTGTCCACCCCTCTCTGCTGCTGCTGCATCGTTGTGGAAAATCTAGAGCAGAAGAGATATCTGTGGGTTATATGTGTATGTTTACTGGTTTTTTAAAAAAAAAAACCTTTGGGATTTGTGGCTTATAGTCCGGTGCGGCTCATAGTTCGGAAAATACGGACTATAATCCTACCTGGATTTATTCTGTGAAGAACCCAGAGAGGGTTATTTGATTGTGCTTTCTGGAAAACGATACATTTTTACATTTAGGCACTCCTGCAATCGTCACACTTTTTCTGTTACAAACTGACTCCGGCCCCCCACCAGAGAAGGGAAAAGTTATGTGGCTCTCACAGGAAAAAGTTTGGGGACCCCTGGTTTAGCAAGTTAGATGTTAATGATCCAAAATATTTGGTTAGCTGTGCCCACCTCTGGCAATAGCTGCTGCCAATTTAATTGTAAATATATATTCTCTATTACAACCACAATGGAAATTTTGAAAACTGTCCAGCCGAAAAAGGAAACAAGATCAGGATCAATGATCTATATAGTTTGACACCAAAACATATTTATCTAATTGGTGATTTTAGCGCAAAAATTTATTTTCCATGACAACCATGATGAGAATCTTGAAAAAATATTCACATTTCGTTAAATCATCACCAAATATGATTTCTGTAAGTTCAATTATGTATGACTTGACACCAGATGTATTCATCTGTGAAAAATATTGGCATTTGAAAAATGGCCACCATCTTGAATTTTGCAGTGGTAAACACTTTTTTGGATAATCTAACTTGAATAACAAACAACTTAGGTTCTGTTCTGCTGAAATATCCAATTAACAGCTGCGCTAAAAGTCAACTTCTATATGTGAACTCAAATTCGTTGTACACAGAATTTTTATTGGTAAATAAATTGAAAACAGTTTAATATTTTAATTCAGAGTAACAAGTATTAGCTAATTTGTGTTAAATACACAAAATACGTATACTGTACTTTAAAGTTGTAATCTCAAAATATGAAGCTCAAAGGATGTGAGGAGCTCTGCAGGATGTTTGACGTTTAAAGACCACATAAATGGCTGATTAAAATTAACAAGCAAAACCAAGGAACCAGACATATGAAATATACAAAACCTGTATATTTATCTCCATACCAGAACCTTTTAAATATTGACAGTAGCTGGGAAAGTAAAACAATCTAAAATTAATTGCAGAAACCAGCACATCACATAAATAGGAACTCAGCTACAGAAAAAAACCTATGAATGGAAGGTGAAGCGGAGATATTTCCAGCCCTTCACTCAGCAGAGCGTGTGGCATCGTTAATGCCTTTTACCTCGTAGCCTGAAGGTAGGAAACAGTGGCTGTGAAAAGTTCAGCCAGGGATGAAAAGACCCCTTTTCCCTCTGTGCTTACCTTACCACCGAAATCCCCTCAATTAAAGACAAAACAACTGCGGTCATAACCGTAACCCTGTATTTAACTCCCATAAATGTAATTATAGTTCTTTTCATTTTTTTTCCCGTGCCAAATCCGCTAAGCCCAAACCAATAAATAAACACAATAAAACTTGGTGGTGCGGTCCATCTCTTCACCAGCTACAAAACGCTAAAGCCAAGCATCTGAACCCGCGTCAGTAAGAGAAGGCTTGGCATTCTTCTGCTCCAACATTCATTCCAGGTCACTGTGAAACACCGGAGTGGCTGTTGTCAGTTTCAACCTACCGCACATGGCCTTCCTCCTACGATGTTAAAACCCAGAGATCCGCTCTCTCGGAGCAGGACAACTGTCACGCTCTTAGTGTTGTCTTCCTACAGAAAGACAGGAGAGAGAGACATGTGAGCAAGCAGACAAATTACTGCAAGAAAGAAGCTGACTGATGTTTTTTCAGCCTTCAAAACGATAAATTGACAATTTATCATTTTATCATGGTGGCAGCATATTGGATCTGATTTGTTATTTTTCTGGTCATTTGTTTGTAAATTTTTGGTTGAGGCGTATGTTTGGACAAATATTCTCCTTGCTCTTTACTTTTGGAAAACTTTTAACTGTGACAATGAGATTTGTTTTTACAACTGAGTGGAGCTAGTTAGCTAATCTCAAATGCGCAAAGAGGCAGTAGTGTATAAAATTGACTTTTTTCACCTTTACATGACAGATGACATTATAATTTCATTCTGTCTATAATTTCATTCTCAAAAGCAGACCTGAACTGTTGCTTTGATTCTTTCATGTATGTGTGAGAAGTCCTTTAACCTCCATGGCAACCATTCAGCCAATCAAAACACATGGGTGGACATAGGCTTCTGAGCTTCTGTGTCACAGTGCAACCCTCCTCCAGGACTCCTTCAGACTAGCCGGCAGCAATTAGCAAACACCTGGTGGACCTGCTGAGCTCATTATAGGAGATATTTCTCAGAGCACCGCTGAGCCATGTTGCAATGACTTACTGAAGGCAGATTCAGAAAGAGCATGAGTTTCTTAAAGGGAAAGAAGCCCAATTTCAAAACCTTACATTACAAAGCCAAATTTTTTTTAAGTCAAATTTGATAAATATAGCCTTCTTACAAAAACTGAAGGTAACATAATTACTTAATTATGCTCTAAAATGCCACTCTGCCTGGAAAATAAGTAATACTGTACTGCGTCTCCAAGCATTTTGCACAGCTGAATGGTTGCCACGAGAGATTAAAGGATTTCTCAAAAACACATGAAAGAATAAGGCAACACTCCAGGTGTGTTTTTGATGAGAGAATAATTATATAGCATGATGTAAAGCTTCAAAACAACTTTTATTTTACATATTAATGCCCTGACAAGTAGTTTGTCTTATTTATCTATGCACACAAACAAACTTCCTGGTGCCATGTTTAATTCCTAACAGGAAGTCATGATCTGATTGGCTGACAGTTATTTTGTGCTACACTGCCCCCTGTGGGTTTTGCCTGTTTAAAACAACACTCAGAGTCAAATTGGTGCAGATTCGTGTAGATGAAAACTTTTCTGTAACAATCCTGAGTGCAGGGGCGCTGCCAGGAATCTTGGGCCCCCTGACAAAAAATTAGATTGGGCCTTCCCTGACAGCTGCTCTTACAATTTTTTGAGTCTATTTGACCCATAAAAAGTGTCAAAATTTAACAGCTTGCAACTGCTTTGCTTTCTTTGGTTCAATACTGATAACTAGTACAATATTTACCGCTCATGAATTTTACATTCAACAGTCCACATACAGTATGCAAGTAGGTTACTTAAATTTTTTTCTATTAGTTTTAGCTTACTGAAATGTCTCTCCCCACAAACAACAGTCAAAAGCAACATGCAAAATATAAAGCAGAAGAAATAGATTTCTCACAGATTATCTCTCATACCATACTGTCACAACATAATGACAGTTTTAACAAATGTGTGAAAAAAATTATAAACGTTACTGCAGCTTTAATTTCACTTAGGAGAGGGCAGGTTAGGAGGTACGTGGGTTAGAGCTGCTGCTGACTGACTCATCTGTTAAGTGTGGTAAAAGGTACAGGGACAAGTTAAATATATGAATATCTTGGGTGTTACTTCCGGCAGCTAGCGGAAGTAGCATTATTTCATTGTAATTTGTAGGGTTTTTTGCTAATCTATATTCATGATAGAAGTTACATCTTACTTTTCGGTTATAATATAATATTTAGTAAAACTTGTTTTCGGACACACCGTCTGTTATCAGAGAGCTGCTCAGTACAGATTATCGTAATCGTGAGTTTAATCACGGGGAGTGACAGGAACAAGATCGTTAAGTTTTGTACCGGAATGACCGTGAATTAGCAGCGCTGCTAGCAGCTCATTTCTCTGAAGAACTGACTGTATTAAAGACGGGAAAAGCAGAGAAGATCTGAGATCTGTCATAGATCTGAGTTGTGCCGACAGTATGAAACACCAGAACTACACAATATTAGTTTGGTGTGATGTAAATTTTATTTTTCGTTTGAATTTAAAAAATAATAAAGCTCATGATCTGAGTATTTATCATTATGATTGGGCCTGGAAATTTTATTTATAAGACAAAATAAAATATCTGGATTTATTTAGTCCATCAGAACCAGAACCTTGAGGTTCTCCGTTGCTGAGTGTTGCTGCAAATCAGCAGAGAAATAACCGCAGCTGCTGCGCTTCAGATCTTGCACAACAGCATAATCTCCCCACTGGACTAGAACCGAACCGAATCACACATTTAACCTATTACTGAGAGCAACTTCCCACTGGAAAGTGTCGTAAGATGCCCTTGTAGAGCTCAGGTATGGAGTGAAAATAGTGTCAAAATATCTGTGCGTGTGTAAAAAGATTTGTGCGTGTGTAAAAAGATTTGTGTGTGTGTAAAATGATTTGTGTCTGTGTAAAATGTATTCTGCGTGCGTAACAGGATTTGTGCGTGTGTAAAAAGATTTGTGTGTTTGTAAAAAGATTTGTGTGTGTGTGTAAAAATATCTGTGCGTGTGTAATACTGGATTTGTAAACCTTAAAAATAAAATAAACCTCCTACGCCTACACATGCTGAAAAAGTACACACAAATCACCTGGTACGCACACACAAAACTGCATTTACACACAGATCCGGTTACGAGTGCACAACTATTTTTGAGACTCATTTCTCGCTTCGGGGAAGCTCCAAGATTTGTGTGTAGATGGTGCGTTTACATGCTAGTAAAAGCTGGGACATCTGAGTTTTGCTTTAAGTCTAGTGTTTTTATCCTCTGACGTTTCTCACTGTGCTTGTGCCGAAGTGGCAAATACTTTAGTTCGTGGAAAACGGTATATCTCAGCACTTCCTTATAATATCCTAAAATTATTTATAGACATATTGTGCAT